CGCGTTCAAGGCCATCAACGACCTCCACGACCGCCTCCAGAAGGAGTGCGGTGGCGCCGTCGTCTCCTGCTCCGACGTCCTCGCGCTCGCCGCCCGGGACTCCGTCGTCGTGGTAAGTCAACTACATACGCGTGCATGCATGCACAAAATTTTCTTTTGTTAACCACCCCACCACATGCCTGCATGTATCCATGCAGTCCGGCGGGCCCACCTACAAGGTGCCCCTGGGTCGTCGCGATAGCGCGAGCTTCGCGACGCAGCAGGACGTCCTGAGCGGGCTGCCGCCGCCGACGGCCGAGGTGCCGGCGCTGCTGGCCGTGCTGTCCAAGATCAACCTGGACGCGACCGACCTGGTGGCGCTGTCAGGCGGCCACACCATCGGGCTCGGCCACTGCACGTCCTTCGAGGACCGGCTGTTCCCGCGCCCGGACCCGACGCTGAACGCCACCTTCGCCGGCCACCTGCTTCGGACCTGCCCGGCCAAGGGCACCGACCGGCGGAGGGTGCTGGACGTGCGCACGCCCGACGCGTTCGACAACAAGTACTACGTGAACCTGGTAAACCGGGAGGGGCTCTTCACCTCGGACCAGGACCTCTTCAGCAACCCCGGTACCAGGCCCCTCGTGGAGAAGTTCGCGCGCAGCCAGAGGGACTTCTTCGACCAGTTCGCCTTCTCCGTGGTGAAGATGGGGCAGATCAAGGTGCTCACGGGGGCGCAGGGGCAGATCCGCAGGAACTGCTCCGCCCGCAACGCCGGCACCGGCGTGATGCTGCCGTGGTCCATCATCGAGGAGGCAGAGAGCCTCGTGTTCTAGGTGTGCCGGCGTCTGGCTGCCGTGGTCTCGTGTGGATCGGACTAGCTAGCTCGCCGGCCGTTGACAGTTTCTTGGTTGGCAGTAGATTAGCTAGCCGTACGTGGTCGGTGTCTACGCGGTGCCTAATGCAATGTTGGCTGGATGCAGCAGCTGGCTAGCACTGGACTGCATGCATGCAGATGCAGTGCAGCAGCGCCACCAAAGCATCTCAGCTTTTTGAGAAATAAAAGTGGCCATGGCAGAAATCAAAGTCTACAGTGTGTGCAAGTGTGCAGCTACGAGTATTACCATCTTTATATCATATTATTATCATGCTGGTATAAGACTGCACCAAAAAATTAAAAAAAAAACACTCTACCTGCCTCACCCTCGTACATAGCGGTACCGTAGCTTTCATGAAACTAGATCACTTTAGACTCACTTTAGACATGTACTTTAGGGTGGAGCAGGCCACCTGGATCGCAAAGGTGCGACGCGGTCTCGCTAGCCTACCGGTCTCGCGTCTGCTGGCCCTGCACCAAAAAATAGAATAGAAAAAAAATCCTAAAAGAGCCTAAAAATGCCAGATATTCAGCCCTTTATTTTGTCTACTACTACTCAATCTTGCTGAAGTAAGTTTGATCTCTTATTATTCCTATATATACTTATTTGTACACGGATTCTATAGTGCAGGCGTCTAAAAACGCAAAACCAAATGCACCTCACAACTGAAGGAAACAAACGAATGAAGAAGAAGCTCCAAAGCCATCTGATTTTTTAGATCCAATGAATGAATGAGAATCAATGTCTGATGAGATGTAAAATTTTAGGCACCTGACATATAGCCGGACCCTTATTTGTATTGGAAACGCTAGGATTAAGGCGTCCGGACGGTTATCTTTACGTCGGACGCCTCATCCACCGCTAACTCCCCACTCCTGAGTTAATAAAAAAATCTCCACTCCTTGCTCGTCGGACGCTTGCATATCCTCCTTTCTCTACTTGCTCCCAATGCCGCTGCATCCACCCACATGTCTTTCTCGCCGCCGTGCTTTGCCCCCGGTCGATCCTCGGCAACCCCTGTCCCCTCGCATGGAAAACATCCGTATGGACGGACGAGTCTGCACCCCACGACTCCCCACCCCGCCTCGTCCGTCACGACTCCCCACCCTCCCTCTGCACCACCGAGGTCTGCGTCACCGGCGAGCACACCGTGTGACCTCCACGCGCCTCCCACCCGCCCTTTGCGCACTGCCGGCGAGCACACCGGTGACCTTCACGCGCCGATGAGCCTCCATTCGTTGAAGCAACGAAGAGAAGTTTTGCGATGAAAGCGCATGTTGCAACCGTATGTTTCAAGTGTTTCAGGTGTTTTAGAGGTATGTTGCAAGTGTTTTATATCGATGTTGCAAAAGTAGATCGGGATGTTGCAAAAGTAGATCGGGATGTTGCACATGTTACAATGACTATATATTTATGTTTCAAGTGTATGTTTTAAGTGTTTCATATGTTTCGGACGTATGTTTCAAGTATTTCATTTGTATGTTACAAAAGTAGATCTGGATGTTGCATATGCATGCATGTTGCAACCGTATGTTTTAAGTGTTTCAGGTGTTTCATACATATGTTGCAAGTGTTTCATCTGGATGCTGCATATGTTTCGCAATGGCTACACACATGTTTTCAAGTTTTTTTAGGTGTTTTCAAGTGTTTCAAATGTACGTTACAAGTGTTTCAACTGTTTCGGACGTATTTTGCAAGTGTTTCATCTAGATGTTGCAAAAGTAGATCCAGTGTTGCGTATGTTGCAATGGGACCCACTTGCCGTAGCTGCCTGCAGCTGTCAAGGCGCTGTCGTGGGTGACCGTGCGACGGCCTGAGGCCAGTAGATGCATTCACGGCACGTATCCAGAGGTGGGATAGGTGACTGGGACCCAGAGGTGTGACATGCAGACCATGCTAGGCCCCCGCGCTAGTGGTTGGGTTGTGACCGGCACCCACGGGTCGGGACTCGTGTGCTCGTGCACGAACAGGGAGGGGAGGCCGGTACAGTGACGTCACCATGCCCGCGACTAGACCGCGCGCGCCGTGCGAGTTGAGTGTCCGATATTTGGAGCTACGCTGGATGTCTGTGCGCCAATAACTCCCTATATATATATATATATATATATATATATATATATATATATAGAGAGAGAGAGAGAGAGAGAGAGAGAACTACTAACCTGTAGCTGGCCACAAAATAACTTATTCTGTAGCCACTTTGAGTTACGATAATTACTATGTTAATTTACGAGATTATAGTAAATCCTTACTAAGTGGTTTACTATAACGTTATGGTAAATATCCCCATGTGTTATAGTAACCCAATTATCGTAAATATGTATTGACATTATCGTAAATTAGTATATAAAATTATCGTAAATGGAGGTGGCTACAGAATAACTTATTTTATAGCTGGCTACTGAATATAATATATATATATATATAGTTAACACTCTCGTATGATGAGGCGATGAGTGATGTGACAGGAAAAGAGAGAAACACTTTTGAAGTAATACAAAGAAACAAAAAATCGAACATTGCACTGATTTTGTGAGCAGTGACTAATCATCGGCATGCAACAACTAACACACATTAGGCTCGGTCAGTTGGCTAAGCTTGTTGTAAAGGAAGAAGCAATTGAGTAGACCGAGCACTTTGCTAGCTAGCGCACAAGAACCTGCATATTCCATTTTCCAAGACCTGCCCATACAGTTTTGTATTTTTTTGCGAGACCAGTACGGAGACAGCGTACACTCACCCCATGAACGTGCTAATGCGCCTATGCTGCGCATCACATGCTAATGCTTCCCCTCGCTAGTTATGCACTTATGCTGCGCTAGTGCGCCTATCATCAAATAAATTAAATCGACTCCAATTAATCCACACATCTACAGTACTACACCCAGTCCAGCGCAGAGGCAGCTGAAGAGAGTGCAAGCAGAACTCCATGAGGCACAAGCTAGCCGAGGCAACAAGCGCCACAAACAATAGCTCACCTGATGAAGAAGCTGTTGTTTCATCTGATCGAAAGCCACGGTAACGACCTTCTATCAAAGCTTCCAACAAGAGGTAGCTAGAGCCCTAGAGGGGTGGTCGGAGCCGCTGGTGCTCTACTAAAGCTACTGGTTCAATTTCACGTTCCGAATGGCATGCACGCTCAGCATATAATAACTTGAAACCTCGGCATGCATGATGACACGTACCATCCTCGCGTCCAACCCCAAGTTAAGCTAGTGTCGCACCACATGATGCATGGATGAAGGCGCTTGCCTTTGCAATCACGAACCGCTACCGAGTTTGGCGGAAGGCACCGGTTGGTGTTCGTTAGCGGTGGCGCCGGCCGGTCGCGGAGCAGCCGCCACGGGACACGACGCTCCAACCCGAGTCCATCGATTATCGGATCGGGTGTGTCGTCGTGTGTGATGACTCATAGATGCTGACCATGCATGCGCCGTGTCGATCTGCATGTGATGCTGATGTGGCAAGTCAGCCCGGCTTGCCTGCTGCTTATTATCATGATTGATGACTGCTATGCGTACGTAAGAGAGGAAGATCATGGAGGTGGAGTGGACAGGCCACAGCTCAGTCATTTTCAGCATCTAGGTTAGGTAGGTTGGTTGGTAGCGACCCGGTTTTGTTGTTTCTTCCTTCGCATTCTGCAGTGAAGACAATACACACACACACACACACATATATATATATATATATATATATATATATATATATATATATATATATATATACACGCGCGCTATTCTACGCTAAACTGTTGTACTGAATAGAATTCAGTACTGTTCAGTAGTCGTGTTTCAGTATCGTTCAGTATTTCGAGGTACTGTGTAGTACTGACTGTACTTAATATTTTTTTCAGGTCAGTTTTGGCTTTTATATATATATATATCATTTTTGCTTTTTTTTGAGGGAAATGTTTGTTTGTTTAAAACTTTATTGCAAAAACGATTTTTTACGTGTATAAAATGGGGGCCGGGAGACTGGACTGTGGAGTCCTGTCCACCATATATGTATATATATAGCCACAAAGCTAAGCCGGCCATCCCCTCCTTAGCTGAAATAGCTAGGCTCTTGCTAGTTACCACACCCTACCAGCGTTGCTCGATCTCCACACTCGCTCCGCGCTACCTCACCGTACGTGCTACAGACATGTCTCGTGCTGCTACGCTCGCTTCGCCTGCCGCGGTGGCGGCCGTCCTCCTCCTCCTCTGCTCCTCCTCTGCGCCTACTACCGCCGAGGCCGGCAACACCGGCAACGCGAGGCAGCCTCCTCCGCTGGCGCCGGGCCTGTCCTTCGACTTCTACAAGTGCAGCTGCCCCAAGGCGGAGTCCATCGTGCGGAGCTTCGTGCAGGACGCCGTGCGCAGGGACGTCGGCCTCGCCGCCGGCCTCCTCCGCCTCCACTTCCACGACTGCTTCGTCCAGGGCTGCGACGCCTCCTTGCTCCTGGACGGCTCCGCCACCGGCCCGGGAGAGCAGCAGGCGCCGCCCAACCTCACGCTGCGCCCCACCGCGTTCAAGGCCATCAACGACATCCACGACCGCCTCCAGAAGGAGTGCGGTGGCGCCGTCGTCTCCTGCTCCGACGTCCTCGCGCTCGCCGCCCGGGACTCCGTCGTCGTGGTACGTAGGCTGTTTACGCATGCATGCAGCCCTATGCACTGCACTGCATGCACACTCCTCTGGTTGGTTCTTCAGGCTCACACTCTGCCTGCCTGCCTGCCTGCAGTCCGGCGGGCCCAGCTACAAGGTGCCCCTGGGTCGGCGCGACAGCACCAGCTTCGCGACGCAGGAGGACGTCCTGAGCGACCTCCCGCCTCCGACGGCCACCGTGCCGGCGCTGCTGGCCGTGCTGTCCAAGATCAACCTGGACGCGACGGACCTGGTGGCGCTGTCGGGCGGGCACACCATCGGGCTAGGCCACTGCGCGTCGTTCGAGGACCGCCTGTTCCCGCGCCCGGACCCGACGCTGAACGCCACCTTCGCCGGCCACCTGCTTCGGACCTGCCCGGCCAAGGGCACCGACCGGCGGAGGGTGCTGGACGTGCGCACGCCCGACGCTTTCGACAACAAGTACTACGTGAACCTGGTGAACCGGGAGGGGCTCTTCACCTCCGACCAGGACCTCTTCACCAACCCCGGCGCTAGGCCTCTCGTCGAGAAGTTCGCGCGCAGCCAGAAGGACTTCTTCGACCAGTTCGCCTTCTCCGTGGTGAAGATGGGGCAGATCAATGTGCTCGTGGGGGCGCAGGGGGAGATCCGCACCAACTGCTCCGCCCGCAACGCCGACGTGACGATGCCGTGGTCCGTCGTCGAGGAGGCTGCAGAGAGTCTCGTGTTCTAGACCTGTAAGCGTGCGTGCGTGGCGTCTGGGGTCTCGTGTCGACTAGATAGCTAACTCTGGCCGTGGTCGGTGTGCAAGTGATGCAGTCAACTTTGCAGCAGCGCCCCCAAAGCATCTAGCTTGGAGAAATAATAAAGTGGCCATGGCAGAAATCATACCGTGCAAGTGCAAGTGTGCAGGTACGTATTGCCATCTTTATTTTACTACACTATAAGACTGCACTAATCTTCAAAACAGGATGCATATGGACCGGCAAAATAAAAGAGAAAATCCTAAAAGAGCATTAAGAAGAAACAAAAATTCAACCAACATTGACTTTGGTGAATAATTATCATCGGCAACAACAGACATCAGACCAAAGACAAAAATCCATGCTTGTATTGAAAGCATAACAACACACATCAGGCTCAGTCAGCAGGCATCCTGTTCGTGTTTGGACAGACGTGTACAATTAGACAGCAGGTCAAAGGAAGATACATTGGACAGACTAGAAAAGTCCAATGTTACCAATACTGAGAGAACACTGCACCGGCAACAAAACCCAATGTAGCACTCGGCTAAATTTGTAAAGGAAGATATGCACGCAATTCCAAATCACTTGCATAGTTGCATTATTCCAAGTCACTAAAAACCGCACAAGAAGCTGCATTTCAAATCCGGCCTGCCCATATATGGCTTTGCATGGATCGCGATTCCAAGTCCTCAAGTACGTGTAGCAAGTAGCAACTGTGTTTTGCCATGTTCCAAATGTCACCCAAATAAGGTCCAACCACATCACTGGACAGCTACCTTTTCCCCTTGCTACAGTTGTCCAGGGCGAAAAGGAGGCGACGTGCATTTCCGGCGGTGATTTCGCCGGCCCCTTTCCTCTTCGGTGGCCAGAGAGGCTTCGGAGAGGGGAATCACCGTGTGGCTGTATGTAGAGTAGGTGGGAGTCTACCTAGGTCTAGGGTTTGCTCGCCATCTACTAATGGCGGAGCTAGGGTTCGTCGCCGGGGGGTGTTCTTCATGAGTGCTTTTCTAGGTGGTGTCGGCGAGACGGAGGAGTCGACACCGCTGGAGAATAACTTCTCCCCGCATCTCCTTCGTCCCGGCGGCATTCTTCTCCAGCGCCCATGGCGAGGTCGGAGAGTTCTATACATGAGTCCGGGGCTGGCGCTTCATCGTCTTTGCCAGGTGATGTTGCTGTTAGCCTTCTTTTGCAAGGATGTGGAGCTATCTGTGGTTGTTGTGGTTGCTGGACGGCCGGATCTAGCTCAATCCTCGCTCGGCGGCGGCGGTCGCTGGTGGCGTGCTCAGATCCTCGAGCTGGAGAAGTTGGGCGCGGCCCTGGTCGATGGGTGATCGCCGACGGCTTCATCCTGTTTCCCATGACGGGTGTCTACTTCGACTCCTTTCAAAGCCAGCGTGCGATGGGATTTTTCCAGCTCATGGTGGTGTTTGGCTTCTTCTTCGACGGCGGCGGCCGGCAGCAGGGTGGTCGATCGGATCCAGGGGCATCGATGTAATTTTTTTCTTCTTTAGGGTTCTTCGTGAAGATTGGCTGGGACAGTTGTCTCTCTATCCTATACGTACGTGTCTGTATTTGTATGCACCCTTAATTAGAAATACAGATACATGTTATAAAAAAAATGTCACCCAAATTATATAGGTGAGTTGTTGTGACTGAGAGCACCGAGAGAGATTTTATCATTTGACAAGCGGCGTCGTCGTGCACTGATCCGACTAATCAAAGGATGCCGATCTAACTAACAGAGAGACTTGCACATTAAACAGCATTGTAAGAGTAACACAAACCGTACAACTCAGATCGTGCGGTCTAAATTATTTGTGCTCTATATTGTGGACACAACCAATGCCTTCTTTTGAGTTGAAACGACCCAGGCAAGGCAAGAGCAAGGATGCGATGATCATGCACGTCAGCATGATTGGGAGTGGTAATTACTAGGATTAGCCGTGGTCGTTGTTTTAGTGTTTGTTAACAGAGATGCAGCGCGTGTTAGTGTCAACAGAGAGAAAGCAGAGACATTGCCCCCAAAGCGCGTCTAGATGTTGAAAATAAGGTGACCAACTGAGCATGGCAGATTGGCAGGCAACCAAAATCCGTGTGTAAAGGTTTCAGCAAGGACGTCTAGCACTAATAATATACTCTAGTTCCGATCCAGTGTATGTTGAAGATCTCAGACACAATGGCACGTTACAAGGAAAATTGGGATAGGATCTAACTCCAGTACGTATATTTATGTTTCACCACAAATTACAGTTGGGAGGCACGACAAATGGGAGAAGCTAGATGAGGCAACTGGTGCACTTGGCTATGTCAAGAACACCAAAACGAAAAGAATGATGAATAGAACAACCAGGAACGCGATCAACATGATCTGACCCTTGATGCCAGCCTTCTTCATCACCATGGCCACTCTTTTCTGCACCACAAAATGGGACAAGACATTTTAGGGCTTCGTTTTGTGATTGAATTATTGGGGTAAGGAAGAAAATGGTAACGCGGGTCTTGACATGTGGGTATGCAAACTGGAACGCAAAATAGGAGAAACCACTGAAGATGGCCAAAGAGCAGACCTGCACGAAATCAAGTCTGTTGGAAGTAGTCTCCGTCTCCAAGCTTAGGTCGTTTAGGATCCTTTCCTGTAAAACAGGCGCAAGCATTCCAGTTAATGCTCCTGCACGACTCTACAAACTTTGCTCCTTGTCAATAGCAATTACCTGTCCGGACAGCTCTTCGTGTATGGTTAGCCCTACACCACCAATCCTTTGGACACTTTCACTGAGCTCATCAAGTTCCTCATCCTGCTGCCTGGGTACATATATCAAGTCAATGGAAAACATGCGAACTTCACATGGCTACCCTGGAAGTATATATAACTATAGATGTAATCTGCCTAGGAAATTTGAATTTAATCAGTGTATGTTATTTCTATCTATATTCACTACTGAAGGAATAAACAAATATTACGAATGACATGATTGCTGTTGACAGCCTACTACCGTAGTACGCGTCCATCTTCCAGAAACAAGACAACAGCAACAGAGCTAATAAATGTTGTAAAACTATGTAGATCAAAAAACAGTTAACCTTGCTGCCAGAAGGAAAAGTCAGTACAGACATAAACCAACAGAAAACATATGAAGTTATGATCCTCACACCCACATGGTTACCATGGTAAATACGCAACTAAGAAATTAGGTCTTAGAATTCCAAGTTTAATCATCATCTGCATTTCTTTTACAACTTTTGACAGCTTGACAAAATGGTCTGGCATTTTGATATTCTAGAGAAAGCAACAGCAAAAAAAAAGTATGGTTACTTACATTTACATAAAATTGATGATGATGTGCTGGTAGAAACACAAGAATCAGTGAGCAACGATAAGTAAACCAATGTAATATTCCAGGAGGAGAAGCAAAGACACTAACTAGAACAACTGAGGAGGAATACAAGGTTTATGTGCCACTAAGGCAAACTTTGACTAGGAAAACAACAAATTTATGAACTGTACACTACCTACGACAATAGACACAGGTCTGAGTTGCATATGTTGAATGCTGAACGGGCAACATATTTCTAACAAAAATGTTTGTAAAGTTCGTTAAAAGAACAAATTAAACTCACCTCATGAGTAGAAGCTGTCTATCTGATTCTGAAGAAATAAAGTCATCGTTATCTTGGGCAGAATAGTGGTTGGTCCTGCTTGTATCCTGGTATTTTGAAGTTGCTGCATTGCTCTTGCCCTTTTCAATAGCTCCCTTGACTGTACCAACCTGGATATGTTCATGCATAAACTGTAAGTGAGGATCCATATAATAAAATAAAGTCCATTGGCAACTGCAGAATTTGGAACATGGTAATATATTATTCCTTATTGTCTTTACCAAACAAGTCGGGCTCATTAAGGACATGTACAACAATGTGTGACTAGTGTTCGAACAAGTGATGGAGACACGGATGACTTCTCGATTAGGATAGGACTACATCAAGGGTCAGCTTTGAGCCCTTATCTGTTTGCTTTAGTGATGGATGAGGTCACAAAGGACATACAAGGGGACATCCCTTGGTGTATGCTTTTCGCAGACGATGTAGTGCTAGTTGATGAAAGTCGGACAGGAGTGAATCAGAAACTGGAGTTATGGCGGGAGACTTTGGAGTCCAAAGGTTTTAGACTCAGTAGAACTAAAACTGAGTATATGAGATGTGACTTCGGCACTACTACTCAGGAGGAGGAAGATATTAGTTTGGAAGGTCAAGTAGTGCCTAGGAAGGATACCTTTCGATATTTAGGATCAATGCTACAGAGAGACGGGGATATTAATGAAGATGTTAGCCATAGAATCAAAGCAGGGTGGATGGAGTGGCGCCAAGCATCTGGTGTCCTATATGACAAAAGGGTACCACAGAAGCTAAAAGGCAAGTTTTATTGGACGGCGATTAGACCTGATATGTTGTATGATGCAGAATGTTGGTCTACGAAAAGACGACATGTTCAACAGATAAGTGTCACGGAAATGCGTATGTTGTGTTGGATTTACGGTCACACAAGAAGAGATCGAGTTCGGAACGATGATATACGTGATAGATTAGGGGTAGCACCAATTGAAGAAAAGCTTGTCCAACACCGGTTGAGATGGTTTGGACATGTCCAACGAAGACCTCCAGAAGCACCGGTGCATAGTGGAATCCTAAGCCAGGATAGTAACATGAAAAGAGGCAGAGGAAGACCGAAGTTGACTTGGGTAGAGGCAATAAAAGGAGACTTGAAAGGATAGAATATACCCAAAGACTTAGCCTTAGATAGGAGTGCTTGGAAAACAGCTATTCACGTGCCTGAACCTTGATTGCTTCTGCTGGGTTTCAACTCTAGCCTACCCTAACTTGTTTGGGACTTAAAGGCTTTGTTGTTGTTGTTGTTGTCGTCGTCTTTACCAAACAACAGGAAATCATGCAACCTGAAGTTGTGTAACTCATTCATGTTCAAAATATACCTCGTTGGTGATCCTAACAAATACGTCTAAGAAAAGACATCAAAGAGTCGAATCATCACATCACTGAAGAGTTGCTACAATATGATCGAATGCATACCTGCTTACGAGCAGAACCAGTCCAGTTTCTTCGCCTCTGAAAGCTCAACCGTCAAGTCCATAGTATGCTGGATCCCTTGATGCGACTGAGATTGTCTTTTCCAGCTCATCTACCTTTCAAGTTGAACACAAGCAAGCACCATTTAGGCCAGAATAATTCATACATCAAGAAAGTGGAGACAGTATTCCATAAATGGTAAACTGATACATTAGGTGCATAACCTGATCTCATATAGGAAAAAATATGGTAGCGGAAAATGAACAAAGAAGGAAAAGAATAACATATCTCCATTTCTGCTTAAATTTCTTCTAAATGTACCAACAACGGAGTAATGACAACGTCAAAGACTTGGCTCCTACTTGCCACTCGATGCTTTCACAGCTGGTCAGAAGCTCCTTTGTCAGATGAACATATTCTCCTGTGTTTGAAGCAGTTTGCTCCCAACGGTGGAAGGTACTTTGCAGTTTATCAATCTGAAACAAAAATAAATTTATCCTGAGGGCCATACCAAAAGAATAACATCTAAACATGTACTTGGACGGGCTATATGCCTATATATGTTTCCAGGGCTTCAGTAGAGTTTCTCAGGGATAACTGGAAACCAGATGTAACTGCAAGATGGTGCAATATGTTTGTGGAACTATGAGAGAGACCCTGAGAGTCAAGAACAAAAGGCGAGGGAACAATTCAACCATGAGTTACCAGATCAAGTAAATGCCTGAGCCTCTACTGTGAGAGTTTAGTGCTGCAGGTGTAACAAGTAGCGTCCATGTCCCCATTCACCTATGTCTATACACAAAAATTGAGCCCATACTGCAAATTTAGATTTTCGAGAGCATGAACATCCCTAGCTGGTAGCTGCATATTGGCCACCTCAGCATCTCTCTGTCCCGATTTGGTACAATTTGCGAACACGGTGAGATCAGACAACAGCGCTCGGATTTCCAACCTCTAACGATGCAGAACGACGGCTCGATGATGATAGGAAAGGTTGGCAATCACTGCACAAATAAGAGTGTAGTAAAGAGCGAGAGGGAAGTACGGATTACCGAGTCCTGGATCTCCTCCCGGACGATGTAGAACGGATCCTGCGCCGAGCTCATGGCCTCTCCGACGAACGGATTCTATCGGATTGCTGGGCCTGGGCGCCTGGATGCCTGGATTTCCTCCCCACCAAACCCTAGCAAAATTTTGGGGGCCAGGGGATTTGGTGCGGAGTCGCGGCGCAGACGAGAGAGAGATCCCATTTCCACTGAGTCGGTGACACTGCCACCACGGGCCCACCTGCTTGCCGCGGCCGCGCTCGTGGACTCGGTGCACGGAGCAACCCCTGTCCCCACGTGGCGCTCCGGGCCCACCGCGCAGTGACTCTGAGTCGTCGCTCTCCCTTCCCTTCTTTCTTCCTCCGCGGTATTGGGAAAGGGAGCGAGAGGCGAAGCAGATAAGGAAGCCAGCCGGCAAGGGGAGCCACACCGGCGTCGAGAAACCCTTGGGCGAGCGGCTCGACGACCCCTACCACCCTCATGGCGACCTTCGCTACCGGCAGCGCCACAGCACGCGCGGCGCTGGCGTCGCCGACTCCGTGCCGGCCGGCCGCGCTCGCCGCACGCCCGGCTCCGGCGCGGTGGATGCTGCTGCGCTGCTCGACGCCCGCTCTGGGCCTCAGGGGAGGGGCCGCGCGTTCTCGGCGGGGCGCCACGCTACGGGTGAGACCTTCCTGGCATTCCTGCCCTGTACTCTCTGGTTCTCGTTGCGTTCCAGACGAAGTAGTGTTGGCTACTGTGCCAGCCAATGGAAATTGGAATGGAATGGTATGCGCGAATACAGTGGAATCGTTGCTTTAGAAACTAAAATGTATTATAGAAACTCACATCCAAATTAACGGCGGGATATTGACAAGCTAGGTCCACTGGCTGCTGTCCAGATGCATGAACTCTGTCCTGTACTCCTCGTAGTAGTTTTCAGAGTTTGCAACTACTATGAGCCATCCAATTTTATTTCTGCTACTGTATCAAAATTTCAGTTCCTAGTCTCAGACATCTGGGCTCAGAAACAATAAACTAGTATGAACTTGGTGTATCTTGGATGTATCCAACTTTTTTGAAAAATGACCCCTTATCTATTTAGGTTGTCAACCTTATGTAGGTGGAAACACTTATGCCATGTAATAGCTATGCGATGTTTTCCCTTTTAATACTTATCGGATTACTTTCCAGTTTTCTGAAATTGTAGTTTTGATCTCATCCGTTGAGTAGCTCTAGAAGTGAGCAAGTGCCAACTGATACTATATGCAATCTTTTTATGTGTGCTTATAGTCCTATAACTGTTTTCTTACATGTATCCTTTTCCATTAGGGCTGCATAGCTCTTCTTTACCCCCTCAAAAAGAGAACTTGTGGATTTCTGCCATTTCTTCTGATATTTTATCCGTATTTAATTTTTGGATAGGTGGAAGCTAAGAAGCAAACTTTTTCTTCATTTGATGAGTTGTTGGAGAAGTCTGAGAAGCCTTTATTAGTTGACTTCTATGCAACTTGGTAAGTTACTTACTGGAAGTAGTGAAAGTGGTGGTGCCAAATGTCATGTTGAGCTATTTCAGTGCTCTCTACTAGATATAAGTTCTCTTCATTATTCTTGTGTTTTTAGGACTTTGGTGTGTTTCATGTTCTTGCCATTATGCCAAGGTGTCACCAACCATTTGGGAGGTGAACATTGCACTGGACTAGCGTTGTGTTCATCATCTGCGTAAATCACATGCATAATATCTACCACCTCGTACCCTTTTTATTTTTGGGAAGATACCAAACTTTTGGTGAAAATTGAATAGTTTTTGCACTCTTTTTTGCTCAAGTGGGGAAGAGCTGGAGAGGTTGGGTCTGTTTTTTCACTTTTTGTCTTTAGTGTTCACCATGTGTACTAACATGTTCAATTGTATTTCCTTCACAATTGGTATTTGCAATACCTCTAATGTGCCTTACTGATTTCAAACCCCCTACTTTCTGGTACTGTTCATGATTATGTGCATTCATTTTCTAACAGAAAAAACATCACTATATGATTAATTTGGTCATGTTCTGTTCATGATATTGTTCATTTTTTCCCTTTGAGTTCTATCAAAATCCAGAAATCTTGTTTCATAATATACTCATCAAACATTGTCCCAACTTCTAGGGGACAGCTGTGTCTATTGGTTTGTTAGCTCCATTACACCATGCATATTAGGCTATTAGGAAGATACTTCATCATTCAAATTAATTATGAGCAGTCTGTACACCAGCATTGCTCTCTGTCTCTACATACGTCTGTAACATACAATTATATTTACTTTTGTTCTTTTTGGTCAGGTGTGGTCCATGCCAATACATGGTTCCCATACTTGAAGAAGTCAGTGAAAAGTTAGGTGACAAAATTCAAGTTGTGAAAATTGATACTGAGAAGTACACTAGCATTGCAAGTCGTTACAGAATTGAAGCATTGCCAACTTTTATCATATTCAAGGATGGGAAACCTTGCTATCGCTTTGTGAGTGTTGAACGAAACAATGTTTTCAATTTTCATCAATAATTTAACTTGTGCTAATATACTATGTTTTTTCTCTCTTTTGCTACCTGGCATTCAGGAGGGAGCATTGCCTGCTAACCAGATGATCGAACAGATTGAGAATGCTTTGGCAGTCACGAAGTAGCACATATGGTAAGCAGGGCAGGATCGTAACCCCCACCCCCAAAAAAATTACTTGGTGCTACCTCACAACATGTGCCTCTTCATGTTGAATTCTTTATTATTGTTCATGAGGTTCTACTTAGACTGCGATATGAATAGGCATTTTTTTCTTCATAGTTACAATCTGAAATTATGATATTGTGAATCGTTGAATCCTCTGCTTCTTGATGCAATACTGAACTGTAATTCCTTCTTCATCTTAACCTACCTGCTCATATAAACCAATAGTGCTACCCAGCATAAATATTAACCCGGTCCTTCAGCATTAGTAAAGATACGTTGAAAGAAAACCATGCTGAGGTGCTTATATCTGCAATCCAATTATTTTCTTTGTTGACTTTCATGATGTAGTTATTCTTACCAGCTGCTGAATCTACCTTTTCTTTGTCAGACCATGCAAGTGAATGGATGCTCAATGAATTGTTTGTCACCAAAGGTAAATTGCTGGCAAGCGATGGGACATTTAGGATATGAAGGTGTACATCCAAGATTCAAACCTTTCATATCGTTTAGTATGCTTTGTTGTGTTAAAATTATTCAACCACTAGATTTTTCTCTTACAATGTGGTATTTATGAATGGGAAGAAAAGCTGTCGTTTTCATGCCGTATCCTTTGTCCCGAACTGAGCCGTACTATTTGAAGGCATAGGGGACGATGAATTATTCTTCTTTCCCTGCTGTATCTCACTTACGGGCTCGAATGATTGTGGATTCCAGCATCTATATTCATTATAGAATATCAGTTTGTGTAGCGAATAAGCAAGTGACCAATATACCTTTAAGATTGTCTTCTCTCCATTCCTGAAACCTTCAAAATTGTCTGATCTTTTTTCTGGAGTAAATATTAGACTTAGTAGTATAGTGCTTTGGTGCTGGGCCTTGGAGGATTTTTCGTTCTTATGAATCATGTACGGAGTAGATGAGACTTCTTTGCTTAGTGGAAAACTTGTGTTCCTGTATAAAAATGCAATTGCCTGAGGATACAATAGTAAGTGGTGCTGCTGTGCTGTGGATACCTTCTAGAAGAACTCCACAACGCTTGTCGCTCTATTTCACCCAAAGCCACCAGGTGTCCGTCCGGGTGAGTACGAGTCCCATGCTTGTTTAGCAATATAAATATACTGTGGCTCGGTGCCTGTGCTAATGGTAATGATGGGTGCCAAATGTTGGGAGCCACTCGTCTTGTCCTGTTGTAAAAAAAGTCCTCATCCTGATTACGAAGAATCTGAAATGAGATTAAGAGTGCATTTTCTTTTCAGTTTTCATATGGAAGATATACATTTTCTATTTAAAGAAACAAATAAAGGAGACATACATTATTCTTTGACACTGAAAGATTCATCAGTTGTCGATAGAGCTCCCATTGGCAAATTATCGCATGCCTTTCCAGAAAGAGAAAACAACGTGTATGGAAGAATCTTACCTTTGCTTATCACCTCTATAATCTCCATCTTAGTGACAAATGTAGCTGCACCAATTTTCTTTAGTGTAACTAGTTTTTCTTTGAAAAAAAAATAATCTTAGGTTCATATGGATATAAACTGTATGGTTTGTTTTAATATATACTAA